AATACCCCTAGAGTTAAAACAAATTGTTTTAATGTTCACAGTTCATGAATTTAACTCTCATGCTTTTGATGGAGGTGGGTTTGATCAAGTGATGACAACAGTGTTTTTAATTTCACATCTGAGGCCAATTTTCATTCTATGCTCAGACCTACAGGGGAATTACGCAAATGTGGATACTGAGACCCTTAAGCAGACATACTTGTCATCTAGTACGCTTAGCAAAACATAACCTTGGTATGAAATGCACGTAGACAGCCATCTCGAGTTACTTTCTCCCACCAGTTATCAGATTAAATTTCTCTCAGGTTTTAAAAGTGAATGATTGTTTATTTTCATGTGATAACCAAGGTAAAATGAGCGAGCAATACAGCAGTAATCACAACAAATCATAAAAGGGAGATTGGATCTTTAGCTCTCATTTTTTATCTCAAAGGAAGCAGAGGTCTTTTGGTTATGATTCAGTGAGAAGCCATTTACCTCAATGTAAATACATTCAAATTTATATAACTAAAATATATGCAACCTGACATTTAATATCTCACAATTGCCTCGTAAAGTTGCAATTATTCATCATAGTCAAAATTATGATTTTCAAAAAGCCCCAATTAGCATGTAAAGTCAATTATGAATTATTATAATTTACAAGATAATTGCAATTTAGATACATAATTGAAGCTATATATATCACAATAGCAGTTTTTTTCCCATAACTGTGGCTTAATATCTCAAAATTGTGATTATTGCTCATTATTGTGACTTGAATTTAAACTTTATCTCAGAATTACCCGTTTAATTTTTTTACATAAGACAGAAAAGGGCTTCCATATATACCCACTAAGAGTGGAGTCCAATTTTAGATCTAACTTCAGGGTGCGAACTACGGGGGAAGCTAGGGGGAGCTCGGCTCCCCTTAATAAGACATGGGCTCCCCTGAAAACGGGATTTGTGAAATTTTGGGGGGTCTCAAAAAATATTACGTTCGCTGCCAATTCTGTATCTCCCCCTTTCATCAGACCCACAGTGGACCCTAGACTCTTTTCCCACCTGTGCTGCACCCTGAATGGGATGTGCATCTTGTATTTTGTTCCCAACGCTACAGGACCTGCACTGTGGTAGTATCCCACCACAGCCAGGCTCAGGATTTTCCACTGGGCTCTTTTGTGTGCCAGAAAGTATGACTGTCACTCAGACGGCGGCTGTAACATGAGCAATCGACCAAGCACTGGCACTCGCATGCTGGGGATGGCTGAAATAGCACTTTCCATAAAACACGCAGAGAGAGGGCAGTGAAATCTGACCTCAAGATGGGCTGCCAGTTCTCCCACCCCACTCCAATATCCTTATCATGTCCTACCGCTCACCCATCTACTCAAATTCTGCACCAACAACCTCACAACAAAAAAAGTAAACGCACAGAGAGCAAGAGAAAGAAGGGGAGGGGGGAAGCAAAGGGCCTTTCTGAAATTTAATCAGTCATTAACTGCAGCTGCAGGAACACAGTGAGTAAATATCTGTTTGGTGGTGGGGGGTGGGGCAAATCCCACAGAAAATATTAATTACACAATTAAATATTCAAATAAACTCCTTTCAAATCTATTTTCGCATGTATGAGCAGTAACGCACACAAATTTACAGAATTATGACACTAAGGTGCACTAATACAGAACACACATTATATTATAATGTATTATATGTTATGTACATTAATGTAATTGATATCTACCGCGTGTTATATATATATACAGGTGCATCTCAATAAATTAGAATGTCGTGGAAAAGTTCATTTATTTCATTAATTCAACTCAAACTGTGAAACTTGTGTATTAAATAAATTCAATGCACACAATTTTTCATTTTAATTATATATACATATATAATTATAATATATATGTACATATCATTTTGCAGTGAAAGATTTGATTAAAAACATAACAAAAAATAAAAAATAATATAAGTAATGGTTTGTCCTAACCACTGCTGACAGAATTAAATAAAATTTAAGGGATTATTCTTTTATTCTTTTTATTTATTTATTTATTTGTGTACTTTAAACGATTTTGGTCACTTGATATCTAGCGTACAGTCTGGGTCCTGAAGCAAAACCAGCTGAGAGCCACATTGATTTACAACACGTTTGTTTTTTCTACAATACATGGCTTGTTATCTCCCTCTTGTGGTCACATTGTACTTCACATCTTCATAAACTACAGGAGAAGGGCGTCACGACAGCTCTTGACATGGTCATGACAGCTAATAGCACACACTCTTGACTAGTCTGACAGGAAATGGCATTAACATGTAAACACTATGTTCTTGCATTATACATAATACACAGCTGGATTTAGTGGTCTGTAGTATTTCAACCCCAGCTCATTAAAGAACTTTCTGGCCAGTATGAGCAGGGCAATTAACAACAGCATGAATCAGAAGAGATATATGCAGACAGGACACATTGAGTTACAAGAGACTCGTAGGGCATGGGAAGACCGGGTCTCGAATTTACAGCCACTGAGTTCAAACAGAGTTTCACTTACATTAATTAAGGTGCTTCACTTGAACTGGGACTCTGGGGAAATGATAAGAACAGACACACATGATGCCTCACATAAAATACTGTATAAAGAGCTTAGTTATTGTTTATATTCTGCAAGAAAGAAAAAATGAAGCTGGTAACTGCATCAAGTTGCTTCACAAGCCAGATGCCAATAGCCCATATCAGAAAAATTCTGGTTGCAAAATAAACTAATAACATTATGTGTCTACATAGAAACTTAAATAAATAAATAAATAAATAATTCACTGGAATAAAAAGTGTGACAACTATCCCTCCCCTACATCTATATCTTTCTCTGTAAATAAATAAATGAATCATTCCAAGGCCTACTGCTGCAAGCACAGTTAAGACTTAAAGACAGAAAACTATCCTCATCAGATTACCTCCTCATTAACTCTCATCTCACCCTTACTGGATGATGAAAGATACAAGGGAACAGAAGTTATGAGAGTGAAAGGAATTTCTGCCTTTAGGTTGCAAAACCTTCTGCTTTCATGGCTGACCATCAGTAATTACTCTAGCCGCAAACCAGCATCATGATTAACATCAGAGCAGAGGAAATATTGGAAAGCTGCACAGAATTTTAAAAAAGTGTTTTTGTGGATTCTTAAGTTAATACTAACCAAATACTACTTTTTCTGTTGAACACAAAAGAAGAAGGTTGGTAAACAAATAGTTGTAGCCATTGAGTTCTATAAGATGGGGGGAAAATACTATGGAAGTCAATGGATACCATCAACTGTTAGGTTACCAATATTCTTCAAAATATCTTCTTTTGTGTTCAACAGATGACCAGGTTGAGTAAATGATGACAGAATTTTCATTTTTGGGTGAAATACCCCTTTAAGCTTTAAAAATGATAAAAACGACCATCGACGTGCTAGTCTTCAGAAACCATATGATAGTGTACTGTAAGTAGAAGACAAAAGTTTGGCCTAACATGGTACTACTTGCTTGAAGTACCCTCTGACAATTTAAGATAATATTTCAATAATTTAACAACATTTGCATGTTCACAGTTCTCTGATGTTAGTTAATAGTAACATGACATGCAGGTAAACAGACAAAATTTCATTTTTAGTAAGTGTTTTATTATGATAAACGCTTCGTGAACCCAAGTTTAGGCAACCCTAGTATAGGCTATTTCTATAGAGAATAGACAGGAAAATGAAGGCAAAGAAATCACACTACCCACTTTGTCCATAAACATGATTGAATGACCCGCACAAAGCCCAGGCCTGAACAGGCACGGCGCCAGAATTTTTTCTCTACCGGTGCTAAGGGGGGGCTAGACCAATATGTGGGGGTGCTAAGAAAATAAATGATATTGATGACGTCAGAGTTACTTCATAAAGAAATGGGGCTAAACCGGGGCTATAAAAAATTCTGACGGGGCTATAGCCCCCCCTAGCCCCGGTGTAGAGCCGTCACTGGGCCTGAACCACACTAAACACCTATGGGATGAATTGGAACAGCAACTGTGAGCCAGACCCCATTTGCCCAACATCCGTCCCTGACCTTACTGATGCTCTTGAGTCTAAATGGGAACAAATCCCAGGAGTCATGTTCCATCATCCAGTGGAAAACCTTTCCAGAAGAGTGGAAGATGAAGGAAGCCCAACTCCTCAAGCCCATGGTTTTGAAACCAACAAGCACATATGGGGATGCTGTTTGAGCGTCCACATAGTTGTAACCATAGATTTATGACAAAAACACTTTATAGCTGCCGAGATCCACTGAGCACATTCCTAATATTTTTTTTTTTTTTTTTTTAAATCAATCTGGTGCCAGATCACAGTGTGTCCTCAGCACATGATTCAGTTACACAGATAGCTTAGAGATGTCTAAATATGGGGCTGCAAAACCACAGTGGCTCATCTTATGCTTGATTTGCTTCATCATCAGCAGCTGAGAGACACAACACCATTAGCATCTCGCCTAAATGAACTGTCACGCATATGATGGCAACAAAGACAGAAGACGCTCTGAAGCTTCCTTCACATAGTTAGACTCGGATTAGTACACTGCAAACTAGTCTACTTTCAGTGAAAATAGTAGATATCTAAGATTTCAAAAGACCATCTACTCTACAATGATCGTAAACAAATAAATAAAAATAAATAAGTAAATGCTAAAAAGTAAAAAAAAGGAAATAATAATGCAAAATGATCAATGTAACTACATAAACCTTATTGCTGTACTTTTTAAATGCCATGTTTGCTAAATGAATGCATCCTTTGCTATACCATTATAAGCTAATGCATATAATAACATAAGTAGATAAAAATAAATGCATATAGAAAAAAAATAAATGCCTAAATAAATACAGATAGATACATGCATAAATAAATGCATATTTATAAATAAATGCATAAATAAAAATAAACTCATTAATTAATTCTCACTCTTATATTGCATGGATGGCTAATAATAATAATATACTTACAACTGATTAAGTGCTGTCTCAGCTTTCTAATCAAAGATGATTTGGAAAACGTACATGGCTGGGTGACCTGTGCAGGGGCCTCAGGTCCAGATGCTTCATCCCGTGTGTCTTCCATGTTCAGCTTGCGTTTTTGCAGAGAACCTGGCTAGAAAGAAACAAATTGGCCTTCAGTCAGATCAGGGGTTATGACCAAGTGCACTTAACCTCCGTTGCATAGAAACCTCTCTACAAACTGTTCCATGGCGAGAACATATCATTCGAAATTCAGAGCGCCAGTGGTACGTCATGCGGGTCAGATTTTATTGTTTGGCAACAAGTGCACCATGGGTAGCGCAATTTACATAAGCACTGTTGGAAAGTTTACAGTGATCTTCAAATATCAGCAGGATTATAGTCTTGCTATTTTAGGGGGCATTTGTTGTGTCGGGATAACCCATGGGTCTCTCCTGTGACCCTCTTAGTGGCCAGCTGCATATCTGTGGTGCATACATTTTAAAATGATGAGGGACATTACCATCTTCTCATCAGGGTCATCCATCAAGTGGAAACCGCATGAAATGTAATACCTACGATGATGAGCCATCTTTTAAAAGACACTTTACCAAAATTGAGATTTAGCAGTTCTGAATGCTTTCATATTTAGCAGCCAGATAAATAGAGAGACAGATGTAACTATATAGATTGATCAAAATGTAATACTATTGCCCAGATATGCATATAAAGTTGATATAAAAGTGTAACCTGCACACATGAAGTTATACATTATTATAAACATTAACATAATAATTTTCTGTAAAGCTCTTTTGAAGTGTGAAAAGCGCAACATAAATAAATCTGACTTGACATGTACAAATATTATTTAATCTATATAATCCTCTCTTTTGGCACCTGGCTATCCCTGTCTGGTTTATATGGCACTTATTCAACATTTAAAATTAGATATGTCTCACATTGCGTGCCTTTTAAGTCCTAAACCTTTTTTTACCCCAGCAAAAGCTGCTGTAAGCACTGCAGTAAGTCTGTGGCTTTATTATAGTACTACAATTTCATGATCTGACTCCTAATGACCACAGCATATGCGGTAAAACTCTGCCTGTCTTGCATGTATTAACGCAGTAAAGATCAGCACATTTCTCCACACTTAAAGAGCCTTTGGTCCCGGATTAGATTTAGACAACTAATGGAGTATACTGTACTCCCTTGGTGATTTTGCAGATAGAACATTGTTAATTATGGCCACCAATGAAATTCAACCATCTCTTTAGCTAAGCCAAGGACAAGGCAGTGTTCTCGATGCACTGGCCCAGAAAATGCATTCAGACTCAAATCGAAGTGAACTTGATCACGTTACACATGGTTCAGCAGCACAGGGACAGGCTTGGAAATTAACACTTAACACTTTAACACTTAGACTAACTGTGGAATAAAAATAAAAATCAGATAGCAACTAAAGACTCACAAGTAATAATAAAACAATATTTCTAAAGGGAAATAAATGTATATTATAAATATAAAATAGATGGCCTACACACAGTTTAACCACCTAAAATATTGATGTTAATGAATTAACCTAATATTGCACAAAAAAGAAAGAAACTGAAGTATATTACCAGTGAGAAATGAAAGTATGTATAATGATATGCCATTTTCTTGACATGATCTATCTTGCTCAGTGGTTTTCAAACTCCGAGACCCTCAGACCACAAGAGGCACAATTTAAGAATTTTACAATGACGACAGATTTTCATAAATGAAAATATGACTTTACTGTTTAGGAAGCACAAAAGATCCCCTCACACGGATCATTTTATTTCAAAAAGCTTGAAAACGGTTGAAAACAGTTCTAGGTGTGTTGTGCTTTATCATAGCTATGAATATAACAATCCCACACTAGATGGAGCTAAAAGCATTGCATTTAAAAACATCCTCAATTTACAATTGTTACACTCGCACAGATAAAATAAAAATACATGGAAAAGGATATAACTATAGATGTCACTAACCCATTGCCTTATGAACAAACAACAGTGTGCTAATTCAATAACAATAAAATAGGGCATTTTTAAATTATGTTTAAAAATAAGGTCTATTTTTCAAATGCAATTAAATATTTGCCAAAATACTGCTAATCTAGGTGAACATTCGTCATTGTAGCAGTTTTAAAAAGCGTATATGTGCACAAAAAGTCATAATACTTCCCTGCTACTTGTTGTGATGCGCTGTCGTCGCCTTCCGCGACGCTCCTCCCACTGTTCCGCCATTGGCTGCTTTGTACAGAAAACAGCGCAGACTTTCAGGTTAGAACGTTCCTATTGGCCAAATTTTTTATTTGCATAAATTATCAGTGCGTGATTGGTCAACGGCACGTCAATCAACCCATTCCCCAGCTTTTGGATATTACCCTAAGAGACTCCACAGTTTTTCATTAGTGAGGACTGGAATGTGAACAAAGTAACAGAGCCAACCAGACAAGAGGTGAACAAAACTATGATTCCTTCCCCAATTCCAAAACTGCACAACGTCAGGATTTGTCACTAGCGCCCAGAACACTGTAAGTATGCCTTTCTAAAAAATAGTCTTGTATTAGAGCAAGAAGCTTCAGATGAATAAAACTCCAACCAACATCTGCAATGTTCTTCCTGTTTTTGGCAGAGCTGGAAAAGCCAATACACTCAGTCAGGATTAGATGTGAGCTGGATAGGGATTGGTGACTAACGTACCTCTCGCTTCTTCCAGAAGGAGTAGTGTGTGTAAATCGGAAGATAATGATCTCTTCCAGGGAGAGCAGCGTCTTTACGTGTCTCTAATAGCCAGGAGTTTGTCAGACTTTCTTCTGCATGTCAATACACGGAGTTACGACTCTGCGCTAACAGCATTAGCTCCTCTCATTCATAGTATCGTTAACTGAGCGGTCGCCATAAACCTAAACGCAGCCAAATCTGTCATTTTTGAGATGTTACTGTGGTTACTTTTTATCGTACTATTACATTTTACCTCAGTGTACGTTATCAATTTAATCAGGTGGTTTTTTACTTTGTTTAGCGCACTAGCGAGCTGGCTAACTGTAGCTTTAGTTGGTGCGCATTTCTGAAGTCTCGTGGCGTAGAAAATAGTCGCCGTATACTACGAAATTGCCTTATTTATTGCCTTATCTATTTTAATTATATAATGGCTACACTTGTTCACGTAAAACCAGTTTTCATTGTGTAATGAGGCTAGGGGTTAACTGAGGGAACGACGGACAGAAAATTTTGTATTTTTTAACCCGAGCCACAGAACACCTGCTCCTACATTATCATTTTTACAATTAAAATGTGTTTATATTATATAAAAGTCAGGAAATTGCGTCTGAATGCATCATCTATGGCCTCAGGGTTTCATGTACGGCTGTATTTTAAGTTCATTCTAGTTATTTCATTGCATTGATCATAGTTCAAGTAAACATGCGCCTGTAACCACATATTGGCTGCTGTTTACTTTTGTAAAGATTTCATGACACTAACATTACAATTATATTCGCTTTAATTACTCACCTGGTACATGCAAATGTTAGACTACCAATGGTTCTCCGTTTTGGTCCCGTAACATTTTGAATGTCTCTAATCTAACACCTGATTCAACTCATCAGGTCATTTTTAGTGGCTCCATGTCCTGAAATGGGTGTCAAATAAGGGAGATGTTCAAGTGTGTAGTTCTGGGGGTCCTTGCAGGGTTGAGAAACACCGCTTTCACATTTTTATGTTGTTATAAGAAATATGGAACTAAACGTAAGACTGTTTAGCATGCTTTTGCTAAAGTTTTTCCATTTGAGCCAAAATTACCAGTATGGCCATTGGCACACTATTATAACTTTCTATAACAATGGCAGTGGGTACTGTCTGTAGCAACTATTGAGTGTCCATGACAATATTTTAAGTGAATATAACATGTAAAAGAAATAATATAACCCTGAAAAAGAAAAAAAGTGGAAAAATTGTACCTTTAGGAGTACTTGTCACTGGGGCAGTACTCTCAAAAAAACATTTGTACCTTATTTACCCCTTAAAGGTTCACAGTAGTATCTAAAAAGGTATCTATTAGTACCTTAGAGTAGTATTGTGGACCTTTAATGAGACAGCACAAAGTTACTGCCCCATTGACAAATTGTTGTACCCCTAAAGGTACAGTTTTTGCACATTTTTTTAAGCCAGAAGACATCCGCTATTCATAACTTTCAGTCACGTGACCAGCTCGAAGACCTGGAGGGCAAAACATCCATAGAACTGCAGGACAAGCCTGTCAATTTTCCATCAGTTTCACAGCCGCAAATATTTAGATCACCTCTCCTAAAGGAATAAAACAAAGGTATGTGAACAAAATGCAAGTTTTGGCCATTTGCAATCCATATTAAGCACCTGCGGAAATATTTAAATCATTAAACAGTGCGACAAAACGTTGTAAAAACACTTAA